ACCTTAGCCCCAGTGAGTACATGGAGCAGGTATGGTATGTGTTTCAAGTTGGAAACACGAGGTAAGGCTTGTGATCTAATTTTATTGGCTACCTTGATTATGCAAGTGTTAACTGTGTGTTTTGATTGCTTGCAGATTTATTGGGCATCAAGGTGGAGATTTGTTGGGTTTTTGATACCCAATAAATCCCGGGCTATGATGTTAACAGAAATAGGCCGATGAATGAAATAAGTCCAACAACCAAGTCCATGAGCTACATCCGGCCCAATTATATTCCTTATGGATGGCTTGAATTTTGGCCCGTTTACCCCTTTATTGGCCCAACTTAAAGCCTAACCCTAGAATATATATTTGACTATAACCCTAGCCACTTTCATATGATGATTTGTGTGATTTTGAGAGAAGAAATAGTGAATCCCGGCTGCCTCCCTTTTGTGTGAGAAAAAGGTGTTCAGAAGTGTCCAGAACGCTGGTATAACGTGTGCAATTTGTGGTTCTTTCATAGTATACCTTTGTGGTGTCTTCTCTTAGCCTTTGTGGCGATAAATCATCATCCTTTCTTGTCCTACGTGGGTAAGATTGAATAGCAACCAAGGTAAATCAATTGGTTGTGGTTTGGAGCCGTTTGGATTGGTTGTTGGTAGAGAAAGGTACGTTGGATTGAGCCTGGAAAACCACCTTTTGAAGATCTTTTGAGAGAGCTTCCGCAACAGAACACTTCATTTGTCTTACATATGAACTAAAGTGCAAAAATTAGAAAGTGAAATACGATGCCACAATTTTTATTTTTTTATTTTTTTAAAGAAAGTCGCATACTACCTAATTTGAATTATTTTAGATGATTCAAAAAGATGCAGGCAACATGTTTGTGAAAATGTTACCTATGACTATGAATTAAAACTTTGATTTATATTAAAATGTAACATGAAGTAACTCTTTAGTTGCCTTACATATGAATTAAGGTGATAAAATCTAAAAGTGACATATTCTATCACTTTGTAAGAAAGTAACACACTATCTAATTTGAATTCCTTCTTATAAAAATAATTTCTTCATCTATTATGAATGTAAATGGGAATAAAATAATGAATATAAAAGTTGAAGAAATCAGGAATTTCCTTCTTATAAAAATAATTTCTTCATCTATTATGAATGTAAATGGGAATAAAATAATGAATATAAAAGTTGAAGAAATCAGGAATGAAACAGAAGTGAAATCCTTTTAGTTGTTATTATGAATAAGAAGCAGCAAAAAAATAAATAAATAAATAAATAAAGTTGTAAGATTTATGAAACTTAAGTTTTCTTTCTTCTTTTTTTTGTTTTGTTTTTTT